GCATCGTTCCGTGCTGGTTGAGCTGGGCAAGAGCTGTGTATCTAGGGAGTAGAAGTCAGCCAACTTTAGGGTCAGGAGACACAGGTCTTAGCCTTGGCTTTGCCATGTGCTTTTTTGCTCAAGGAGACCTTGAGCAGGTCTTTTTTTTCTCCCATGGGATTCAGTGTCTCCACCTAGGAGGACCACACAAGACAACTCTGAGACCCATAAAGCCATAAAATGCTAGACCAGGATGCCCCCTCCACATTTACTGGGCACAGCCTATGTCCCCTATCAGGGACACCTGAGAAGACCTCATCTCCTTTCTCCCAGGGCACCTCTGTCCTCCCAACAGACTATTTCCGAACTCTGGGAACCAAAGGAGGAATGTATCCAACTGTGAGCTTGGCCAGATCTAGCCGAGTCACCTTGGCTATTTAAAACCTCTCCCTGTGCAGAAACGGTCTGTTGAGGCCAGGAGAAGAAGCAAATCCCTACTCAACTAGAAGTCCACTCTGCCGCAACTCTAAATTCCCCAGGATTAAGGGATCTCTGACACCAGCTTCCCACTGCCCTTTTCACTAATGCTCCCCTGAGGCCACTTGGCTGATTGGAATGTTCAGCTCCCCACAACCACCCCCCCCCGCAGCCAGGCAGGATAAGGGCCCTCTCTGGGGACAGTCTGCTGGCTGTCGTGCTTCCCAGCACTAATCCAGGCTGACAACCCCTGGCCCTGGCATTCCCAAGGGGTCAAACTCTATGGTACAGAAAGCCTGGATCCTCCAGGGATCAGAGGGTAGCTAAGGATAAAGTCAGCCAAGACTAGAGCCAATTGAGGATGGCTGGTGGGGTCCCATGCTGCCAACTTTTGGGTCCTAGCGTGTTCAAGCAAAAAGAGTGTCATGGGCCCCACTGTGCCAATGGAAAAGTGAGGCTCAGAGAGGGCAGGGCACTTGCCAAAGTCACGCTGCACGTTTGTAGTGAGGTGAGGATTCAGATCCAGGTTTCAGTTATTCATTTACACCACAAACTTTTGTTTTAACCATCTCCCAAGTTCCAAATACTGAGATAAATTTGCATTCATTTAACAAACACTTACATAAAACTAACAATGTACCAGCTACTGTTCTAAGCACTTTATAAGTATGATCTCATTTAATCCTCCTAAGAGCCCTGAAAGTAGGTTTCACTATCCCCAATTTACGAAAGAGAAAGCTGAAACATCAAGAGATGAAACAACTTTTCCAGGGTTGCAGAGCTACTAAAATGTGACGAATTTTCATTTGAACCCTGGTCTGTCCTGTACTCCTTTCTCTACTCCATGTTGTTCGGTTGGAGGTGAGAGAAGTCCTAGTAACCGCGCAGTGCTGGCCGGGAGGGGGAGGACGGTGGGTATCTGGGCCCTAGGGCAGAGGGGTCTGGGAGGCAAGCTCTGAGGGCAGTGGGTTCACGTGTAGCTGGGGAGCTGGCTGGGCGACACGGTGCCCTAAGGCCTCACCCCTGCCTCGGTGTGGCCACGCCGCACATTTCCAGGGAAGCCCATTCGCTTTGCCTTTGACGTGAATTCTGCACCACCCCACCCCACCCCAACAAGGTCATGCAATGATGCAGCGGCCCAGCCCTCACCTGCACCGGTGCCTGTCAGCCAGGTGTGAGCCTCAGCCATGCAGCCAGGGCCGCCGTTCTCGGGGTGAGGACTCCTCAGCCCGCAGCGGAGGCCTTGCCCACCCCAGAGGTAATGTGCGCCAGCTGTGGCCGCAGCCCCCACCAGCTCTGCAAGATCACGTCGGGGGCAGCCTGTGGGTCATATGTCTAGACAGTCAGACTGAGAATGAGGCTCGGCATCTTGGGAGAAGTTTCCTGAATTCCTTCCACCTTCGGGAATGGAAACTGAGCTAACAGGGAATTTGTTCTAATTATAGGGAAATAAGGAGAATTGAACAAGAGCTCCTCAAGGTTGAGCTCTTCTGCCAGGCTGCTCCAGCGCTCGCCCTACCTTCATCTCTCTAGTGAGAAACCCTAGAGCACCGACTCCGTGCCAGCTCCTGGCCAGGCACTGGGCACAGAGAGGGTTAGACTGGGGCCCTGCCCACCAGGAGCACCCATCCAGTAGAGCAGCAAACAGTGGACCATCAACAAGGAAGCTTGAGGGAGGAGGGGGTGGAGGAGGGCAATGGAGCACAGGCACCTGAACGCCCCGCCCAGAGGTCGGTGGAGGCTTCCAGACAAAGTGGAGGTCCTCTCCCCTCCCTTCTGCCCACATCACAGGGCTCAGCTAAAATGCCACCTCCTTCAGGACATCTGATTTCTTCAGGACACACTGAAGGGCACTCACTCACTGATACTGATTGCAGCTAGAAGGGTGAACCAGAGAGCCTGACTGTCTCTGACGGAGTTTAAGGCTGCTCCTTTCCAACCCTTCCAAGAGGGGTCTTTGCACACATTTCACCCAGCAAGTCAGCTTTTCCCAAGTTTCTTTCAAGAAGCAACCAAGTACCATAACACAGAACCAAGCTTCTGGAATAGGACACGCACACTGGAATACCGAGTCCGTCCCTGGGTAATCTTGAGCAAGCTACTTGGTCTCTTTGAGTCTTAGCTCTATTTATCAAATTTGTACAATAGTCACTTGGGAAGGCTGTGTGGATTAAGTAAAGAAAGTCATGGTGATTGCTTAACCTAGTGCTTGGCTACTAGTGTCATTAAGAACAAGGATAGTCTCAAAGCCAGTCCCAATGGCTCACCGAGTGTCAAAGGGTCCCTGTACCTAGCAGGTCCTTTATAAATGCCTTGACTGCTTGACTGCTCTTTGGCAGAGAATGGGGGCAGATCTCTGTGGTCTTTTAAAATGTGGCAAAATATACATAACATTAAATTTACCATATCAACCATTTTTGAGCATACAATTTAATGGCATTAGGTACATTCACAGTGCTATGCAACCATCACTAATATCCATCTTTAGAACTTCTTCATCATCCCAAGCAGAATCTCTGCACCCATTAAGCAATAACCTCTCCTTTCTTCCATCCGCCCAGCTCCTAATAGCCTCTGTTCTACTTTGTGCCTCTATGAATTTGCCCATTCTCGGTTCCTCGTAGAAGGGGAATCATCCAATATTTGCCCTTTTGCATCTGACTTATTTCACTTAGCATGCTGTTTTCAAGGTTCCTCATGCTGCCTTATATGTCAGCATTTTGTCCCTTTTTAAGGCTGAATAATATCCCATTGTATGCACGTATCACATTTTGTTTATCCATTCATATGTTGATGGACGTTTGGGTTGCTTGCATATTTTGGCTATTGTGAAGAGCGTTGCAATGAGCATTGGTATACAAGTGTTCAGGTCCCCCCTGCTTTCAGTTCTTCTGGGGCTATTCTGACAGGTGGAATTGCTGGATCACATAGCAATTGCATGTTTAATTTTTGACGAACCTCCATACTGCTTTCCATAGCAGCAGCACCATTTTACATTCCCACCAGCAATGCCATATGGTCTTGAAGGAGGAGTTGAAAGGGTGTGAGATGGACTCCCAGGGTACTTGGCCCCCTCCTGTGGAGACTTTTCTCAAAGCAATGGAAGCAGAGTGGTGACAAACTGGGGCAAGCCCAGAGGAGGGGCTTCGAGGGTGGAGGGGAACCAAAGCTACATGGAGGAGGGAGGGTGGAAGGGCCCAGAATGTGGAGTCTGCTGAGAAGGCCCTGGAGGTGTGACGTCTGCCATGTGTGTGTCCATCATGCTGCCTGGGGACAGAGTGGGCGACCTCAGGGTCAGAGTAAAGTCCAGTCAGGATGTCCCAGGGAGACTAGAAACATCTCAAGATGAGGAAGACTTCCGGAGAGCCAGACCTTCCATGAGTGGGGAGCTCTCCATCACCAGAGGTGTGCTGGGAGCCACTGAGGTCCTCTTGAACAGGAGGCTGAAGGGCATTGGAGGTTTGGCTGATAGCCTCC